TCAGTAGCTAATGGTTGGAATTTGAAATGGGGCATTAGTTGTTTCCAAAGTCTACAGAAACTAACACGTGAGATCACATTATTATCAATTTCTTTTATATAATGTCTTTTATATTCTTCATAAACAGAAGTATAAGTAGCATCAGTAGGTAAATAAATAAAAACATCAGAATCTTTACGATTTCGCATTGGTGAAGGTAATCCACAATCAAGAGCATAGTTATTTAAAAAGTTTTTAACTGAAGTTGCAATTTCATTTGTTATTTTAATTTTAGATTCCAGTGATGGTGCACGACCTGTATTTCCATGAATACGCTCATCAAGTCCATATTGTTTGTAATGATCTTGTAAATTTTCCAAAGTCCGTTTCCCAATACCACATAATTTCATAAAAATACTCTGACATATTTTTATCAAACCATTAAATTGATATTTATAGTAAACTTTTTGGTCATCTTTATTACTAGAGAGATTTCCCATCATTAGTTGTGTTTTAATAAATAAATCTTTTTCTTTTTTATCTAAACCTTTTAAATGAATTAAACGTTCAAAAAATGGTTTAAAACCAATTATTTCAAAGCAAGGGTGAAAATTTTTAGTATTACTACGTCTATAACAAGTGCAATTTTCAGAGTTATGGAAAATTTCTTGCACTTCAGCAATGGTATTAAATACAAATTCATTTTCTTCATATTCTTCTAATCCCAGTTCTACCAAATCAAAAAAAAGTTTTTCAACAGACATTTTTAATTGTAGTACAGATCGGATGATCAACAAAAATGGGGTGCTTTTTGTTTTTATGAATATCTCAAAAACAAAAAATCTGAAGAAACCCACTTTTTCCTAGAACAGCCCCCATATATATTATATATAATGTGTAACAAAGGCAATAATTTATGTGTTGCCCAACATTGATCTTATTGATTTCTGGATGTTTTGATAATCTCCATTTAAGAATGTTTTCCCAAATAACTATTTCATCAAAAGAAAAATCTTTTTTTTTTTTGAGAATTTCCAATAAAGCTGGTTTTTTCAACAATTCAAATTCATTTGACCGAAATAATTTTTCACTATAATTATAAAACTTTTTTAAATAAATTCCTCGTATTTTTCATTAGCATAAATCAACTGTAGAATTTTAACTGGATTTTCTTTTATATAATCATCATAATTTTCAATAAAGTATTTCATTACATATTCATAAAGTGACTCGATACCAAGTCTATCTGCTGCAATTAATAGTTTTAATACTTCATCTCCAGAATAATTTTCAAATTCAATTTTACATGTGTAAAAAACCTTTCAAAATAAATAAATTATCAAATAAATTGTTAGAATTACTATATATTAAATAACAACAATAAATAAAATGATGAATGAATAGTAAATCTATTTAAACTTACTCGAGAATAGGGTTGAAAAGTTTTTCATTAATATTAGCCTTCTTAATAATATAATATCCATTTTCTTTTGCCATATTATTTAATGCATTGCTAAAAAATGGACAATGAGCTGATATGATAGATGCATGTGCATGGACTTTTTTAATGTTTGGTTCTACACCAATATATATTTTTACATCATAAAAACCTTCAGTGTTTAATATTTTTCAAGTATTGAATTTTTTATAATAAAAAAGGGATCTCTAAATAATAACCCCAAAATTTGGTTTATAAAATAATTCTTTGCAATACATAGACAGCTAATATTCCACTTCTTATAGTAAAAAAAAGAATATACTTTTGATAAGCTTCTAAAAGCTTTTAATATATTTCCCCAAGTAAACTATACAGAAAAAGAATCTATCGTTGGGATGTTATAAAAGAAGCCCACCAAGACTTCAATGCCTTCATTGATGATGTCTTTAATATTATCAAGGAAACTCGTAAACCCTTCCAGATAAAGACTGCTTACAAATCTGTTGATTATTTATAAGCCCTTGATATTTACAGCTTAGGTATCAGCGTTAAAGATGAATATTTTGAAATGTCGGCAATAGAATATAAGGACCATATCACAGAACACACCAATTACAATACTATGAGATTATAACGATGATACTGGATTATTTTTATTTAAGGAAGGTCCAGAAAGTGTGTGATTAAGAAATGATCTATCCTTAAACACTTATTTTATGGCCTTTTTTTTCCCTTGTCAATTTTTATTTTCTATGGAAATCTCTAGTGGCTCAGGGGTACAGCGACCCAATCCCTTGGCATTGATCACGGAAATTTGTACATTTTTCATTGATAAATAGACAAGTTCTTTGATAAGCATGCTAATTAATAAAAAAAGGTTACAAAATGAAACAAGGGCTTGACTGTATTATTATCGGTACTACCTAAACATGCATGTTTAATATTTGTTTATTAAAATCCCAAATTCGTTAAAAAAAAACGATCGGTCTTGTCTGTTTAAAGAAGATACAATTTACCTACATCATTGTTGAGACATTTCCATCAGAGCTTTTCAGATATAATGATATAATTTGTTTGTAAATGTGCTTTAGATTTATTTTTCCTACCTGAATTGATTACAGCTAAACATTGGTTGTATGTCCAATGTTTTTGCTTATCCTCTGAATCAGAGTAAAATCTGACTTTTGTACGATCGAAAGTTGTGAAAAGAAAAAAAATAAAACATATTATTAATATACAATCAGAGAAATAAACAGTAGGTAGTATTAGGGAACTAGAACAAGAAGAAAATATCGTTACAATAAAGTACATCGAGATCATTTAATTAGTTATTATAAACCATTGTTGCCTTTTCGAATTGATTCTTTTACTACTCAATCTCTATAGCTAATCCATATCCTTTATTTAACAATTGTATACACATTTTTCATTATTTATTCAAAAAATAAAAGGAGAATTGATTGAATGGCTTGATTAATGAGCACTGACTTCTTTATATTTATTTCTTGAAAATCATCGTCAACTTTACATCCAATTATTCTAACATCAAATGGTTCTTATTGTATTAGAATACAGCACATTTTTGCAAAAAAGAAAAATTTTAAATTGAAATTTAGATCAAAACACAGAAAATCGTCGTTCCGTTCCATCAAGAGAATGGTGAATTTTCTTTATGGTATTTAAATAGAGCGAAAAAAAATAAATCACGAATTTCATCCCATTAATCAATCATATTGAATTCTACTGATACCACTTGAAGTTAAGGCTGATAACTAAGCTCATGGATTTTCAACAATTAAAGAGAATAAAGGGCTGGAATCATTTCTCGTGTGAGAACTCTCACGCGAGATTAAAGAATGGGAAATGGTTATACGAGTAGAATAAATCGCTTATGCTGTCAACATGATAAATCTAAAGTGAAAGAAAAGGGATTCTATTCATGGTAAGGAAAATAGGAAAATTCGCAATCTTGTGAACGAATGCCATCGTAAATTATCAAAATTGTTATGTGAGAACTATCATATTGTTTACTCTCTGAATTTAAATTACAACACATGGTTAAAATGGACAGAGGTTTTAGAAAAATTCAATGATGGCCTGGTCACATTACCGATTTACTCCATAAATCTCGTGAGTATCCTTGGTGAAAGGTGGTCATCTTCATTGAGAAATATATACTGGGAAAACTTATGGATGTTGTGGAGCCATCAAACATAACTTGGGCGGTCAGAAGACTCTTAAATGTGTATACCTTGTAAAACTATCATTGACAGGTCAGGTATAAACGGAGCCCACTTTTAAAGTATATTACAGAAACATAACGAGAGTTGTTCGCCACGTTGGGGCTTACACCAGAGTAAGCTGTCTTGTACCGAGTTATAAGTTCAATGTAAGAGGTTAGTAATTAAATTTATTTTATTTAATTTTTATGGTAATACAAATTTATTAATACTAATTTTTTTCCTCGTTTATAAAATCTTGAAAAAATGGGCAAAGGAACAGATAAAATGTATGAATCAAGTCATGCATCCATTTATCTACTTATATATATATATATAAATTTATTTATTTATTATTTATTATGATTTAATAAAAACAAACATGCTAATATAAAGAAAAATTTATTTTATAGGTATATTACACATTCAGGTAATATTGAATGAATGAATCTTTATAGGTCCTAACGGTTATTATTATTATTATTACTATTTAAATAAATAATTTATTAAATTCTCCTATATGCATTTTGTATGTAGAGTGGTCTGGTGAGTTTGGTGGAATGCAATTTGGTGGGATACAATCGAGGAAGAAACCAAATGAATTTAAAAAGTTACCATTCAACTATTGTTCATTATCACTTCAGCCATTTGAACACCCTGTATGTACCCCTGATGGCATGATTTTTGATTTAAGGTATATTACATATATGCAAAAACATTTATCTTTATAATATTTTGTTAATTCACTTAATTAATTAATTAAAAATTTATTTTTAATAATAATAAAAAAAAATCAAGCAATATTTATGCATATGTAAAGAAACATGGAACAAATCCTGTTACTGGTAAAAAATTAGATCTAAAGACTTTAATCAAACTTAATTTTTATAAAAACTCTGATGGTAAATATGTAATTATTTTTTTTGAAATACAATATTTTTACAATTTTCTACAAAAATATTTTTTTACGCGTTCTTTACTTCTCTCTTAGATGAATATTATTGCCCAGCAACGTATAAAGTTTTCAATGACCATGCACATATTGTAGCTATAAAAACTACTGGGAATGTTTACTCATATGAAGCAATTGAACGTTTGAATATTAAACCTAAATATTGGAAAGATTTATTAACCGATGAACCATTTAAACGAGATGATCTCATAACTATTCAAGATCCTCATAATATTGAATCAAGAGATTTTACTAAATTCCATTACATAAAAAATAATTTAAAAATCAAGGATGAAGAAAAACAAGATTCGTTGAGTAATATAAATGTGAATGCTACAGGTTCTGCTGCACGTATCCTAAAAAAAATATCAAATGATGTAAGTATATTTAATAAATAATCTTTTATAAATATGAAATTATTAAAATATTGCATAAATAATTTTAAAGTCTAGTGAAAAGAGTAAGCAAGATCAAAAGACTACTTCTTCATCAACATCAACTTCTACAACTCCAATAAAAACCTCAAAAAAAAGTATTCCATATAATGCAGCATCATATTCCCGTGGATTGGCTGCAGCATCATTTACGTCAACGGCAATGACACCAATAACAGAGAATGAGAATGCACTTATAGATGAAGAAGAATTTATGCTTGGTCAAATAAAATCAAAAGGTTATGCTCGTATAGTGACCAATCTTGGGAACTTGAATATTGAACTTTTTAGTGACAAGTCACCACGTGCTTGTTACAATTTTGTGATGCTTTCTAAACAAGGATATTACAATGGGTTTGTTTGTTTTGTTTGTTTGGTTAACTAGAAAAAAATCAATTATTTAATTAATATCACTTTTTATATTAGTGTAATATTTCATCGAAAAATAAAAAATTTTATGGTAAGTTAATTAACAACTCTTTACATACTGCATATTAAAAAAATAATAATCACTAATTATCACTATATATAAATAAAATGCATACGCATATATATATAGATTCAGGGTGGTGATCCAACAGGAACAGGTAAAGGCGGTGTATCATATTGGAAAAAAGATTTTATAGATGAATTCAAAAGTAATCTTTCACACAATGAAAGAGGTCTATTAAGTATGGCTAATCGCGGGAAAAACACAAATTCATCACAATTGTAAGTACTTTGTAAAATTTTGTAATTAATTTTTATAAAAAATTATTGATTATTATTATTTTGTTTTGTAGCTTTTTTACGTTTCGGCCATGTACACATCTTGATAATAAACATACAATATTTGGAAAATTGGTTGGTGGTAAAGAAGTTTTAGACAAGATGGAATCAGTGCCAACAGATGAATCAGATCGTCCATTGGAGGAAATTAAGATTAGTGAGGTGACGGTATTTATTGATCCATATGAAGAGTATAAAAAAGATTTGGAAAAGAAATTAAAAAAAGATCAGGAAGTTAAAAAACTACCAGTAAAAACTGTAAAAGATAATACTACATGGTTTGGCACGAAATTAACCAGTTCAAGGTTATCATCATCATCTACACAAGATTCATCTATTCCCGTAGGTAAATATTTCAAAACACAACTTTCTAAAAAACGTGAATTTGAAGAAATAGAAGAAGGTAGCGGTGATGATGATAATGTCAGTGATGGTGATGATGATAAAGGAAAGAAGATGAAAAAAAACGAAATGATTATAAGTGATACATCAAAGTATGGTCGTAAAAAAGTAAAACCAAAAAGTAATAATTTTGGTGATTTTAGTAACTGGTAGAAATTTATTAAAAAAATTAATTTATTATTATATTATTTATCAAATAAATAAATAGAATTATTATTATTATAACATTTATAATTTTGAATTTGAAGTTTTTCCTTTTTTCCATAATGATTTCATTTTTTCAAAAATTTCTGGCTCAATAAAATAATCTTCTTGTATATCTTCATTACCAGGAATTGCAGCGTAATGATCAAATTTCTTTTGTCCATTTTCACGTAAAACTACTTCATCGATTAAAAAGTTTCCACTAAATCATAAAATATATAATAGGAATAATGTTGGTTGGCTGTATGTTTTTATTAATGATATATTATTATTATTAATAATGATGATTGTTACCTAAATTCTCTTGAATTTTTGGTAAGAATTACATGAGCTGCATCACCCATTATATCAGGTTTTCTTGCCCTGGAAGATGCCATCATATCTATAATCATCAATTGATTAATTAATATTTTAAATCATTTATGAATTAAACAAATATGTTATTTAATTTATTTATTACCTATAACATTTAAAGCTGCAGTATCAATTACTGTTAATGGCCATAAAGCTATTTTTGAACAAAAAAAGAGAAACATTATTATGAGATGATATCATTTACCAGAGAAATTGATTGATTGATTGATTATTTACCATTTGCAGCGATTCCATGTGAACGAAATTCACCAGCCCATCCCTATTTTACAAAAAAAAAAACAAATAACTAATTAAAGTCATTTGTATGAAAAAATTTATATTAAAGATAATTACCAAAATACTAAGCGACATATTAAATTTTGCCATGCTGTAAGCAACATGACCTGAAAACCATTCTTCTCTTAATGATAGTGGAGGGCTTATATTCAAAACATGAGGATTTCTACCATTCTTTCCACTTTCTATAAGATGTGGCAATGCATACTATTATAATATAAAGCTTTTGTTAATATTTATAATATAATATATTAATTATAAATCATAATGTTAAAAAATAGACATTATTGATTAATATTATTACTTTAGTAACCAACCAAGTTCCGCGAGCATTAATTTCATGCATAAGATTATACTTTTTTAAAGTGGTGTCTTGAGTATTTGTTAATGATATTGCAGAAGCTATAATACATATATATGTAAATGCATTAATAAATAATATGTACATGTATGAATAAATTACATCATGGTATATTATTAATAGCAAGTACCATTATTAATAACAATATCAATTCCACCAAATCTCTCTACTGTTTTCTCAATAGCAGATTTAACCGATTCTTCATCGCGAATATCACATACCAAAGGAAACGCTATATAATAAAATTCGTGACAATTATTGAGTGATAGATTGATTATTTAGTATAACCACTTTGACTTAATTATTTGATTGATTTGATAGTTGTCACCTTTTCCACCTGCGCGTTCAACTTCTTCAGCTGCTGTATAAATAGTTCCTGGAAGCTGTTTAAAAAAATATATAAAAAGTAATAATTAATATTGTTATCATTATTAATGTCATTAGCATTTATCATATTAATTAATTATATTTACTTTTGGATGTGGTGTAGTGGTCTTTGCAGCTACAACAATTTTACTATATAGTAAGTATTATTAATAGTGTAAATTGATTAATATTCTTTGTTATAAATTCTATTCTACATTGAAGAACTATTGTATAATTATAATAATTATTTGTTATTAACCTTCCATCCCTTGCAGCTCTTAAAGCAATCGCTAAACCAATACCTCTGTATGACAACGAATGTTAAAAAATGGTTCATTTAAAAAATTAATTAAAAAAACTCGATTATTTTACCGCGATGCACCACTAATAAATATAACTTTATCTTTAAGCGACATGATTTTTAAATTTTTTTTTTATAACTCTAAAATTCTAAATGTTATTTTATCCAGTGTTAGAAATTCAGTGTGCGGAGGTGCGGACGCAGCATGTTGCACTAAAAATGTGGATCATTTTATGTGCAAATTATAATACGTATATAGTACCAAATAAAAATATGTTTTGTAAATTCATTTTTGACACAGATGAAGACTTTTAATTACTCAAACATATCCCTCCTAATTAAAATATCTCTAATTATACCTCTTTCAAATGCTAATGTAGAAAGAATATCTTCCCAAACAAAGTTGATTAAAGAATAAATTAAGGAACAAAATGAATCTTGATACATTAAATAATCATTTAATGATTTTATTAAATGGACCTGAAATTGAAGACTTTAATTTTGAGAAAGCATGTGAATATTGAGAAGATAAAAAAAAAATAGGAAGATTAATTCAAAAGAACTATTTATTTCCATAATTTGTAGCTTTACGAATTTGATCATATGTGCACAAATTTTTTTATGCAGATCACTGATTTTATCAACATCATGAAAAAATTAAATATATAGCATTAAGTTTAGTGTAAATCATCACCAAATATATCAAGCACAACAATTCTATTAAGATTCTCTTACCATTCATTCATTGCTTCTACCATTACTGTAACTATTGCATAATATTTCAGCATCAATGGTTCCTCCCATTCATTATTTTTATGATCCTCAGAATATCCAAGTGGTTTTGATAAATATTCAACACTTGATGGGGTTCGATGAATTGTTCAATTATATGAAGCTAACCAATTGAAGCAATTGATTATTATGCACCGTCATGCAACTAATTTAATTTTTACCATTCTATGATAGATACTCCAGAATTCCATGGGATCGTGATTTGGAAAATAGACCAAAAATTAATATATCAAAATAGTTAACAGAATTTACTTGTACATACCCAAAGAATTATAGTTACTATCGAGGATTATCATCTACCGAATGAATCAATTTAGCAGCAGCAAGTTGAATTTTAAACCTTTTATCAAATGACTTGGACCAAACAAATTTATTTACGATAATGCATTTTATAGCTAGCTGATATGGAGATGGGATGGTGGAGACAAAAATATTTTTAACTGTTTAAAATTATTATAATTATTTACAAAATTTTTTAATATAAACATATTAACAAGGAGCAAAACTGCATACAAATCAAAACTTGGTGATTTGTTATGCCAAATTATAATTCTACTAATTGAAACGAAAAAAATTGATTTGAAGAATTTACATGAAATTCATTTATCCATACATCCACCCATCCATACATCCACTGATTCATTAATCCATTCATCTTTCATTCATTTATTAATCCATCCATGTACTCATTAATCCCACTAATCCATCTCTTCATGCACAAATGAGCGATCAACTTTTTTTTCTCCCTCAACATCAAGAAATACTTTATTTTTTAATTCTAGCGGAAGATATTCTTGATAAACAGGACCTTCATAGCCAGGATTATATTTATAACCTTCCCCATATCCAAGTTCCTTAAATAAAATATAAAATAAACAACAATGACAGTACAATAATAAATTAAAATGCTTATTGATTTTATTAAATTAAATAAAGTGTTATAAATAATTTACCTTCATTAGTCCAGTAGGTGCATTTCTAATATGTAATGGAACAGGATAAGCATATTCTTCTTTAATAGTTTGTTTTGCCTATATATATATATATATATATATATATATAGATAATATAAATATTATAATTTTTAATGGTTGATAATAATCGATACTTACAAGTTTATAAGCCTTATAAGATCTAATGCTTTTCTTTGCTTCAGCCAAATAAACAACGCAATGAGCCAAATTTATTTCACATTCTGGCATTCCTATGAATTGACATGCTTGATAAGTTGAGATAGCCTGTGTATATGTGTGCGTGTATATATATATATAAATATAATTATTGTAATAATAAAAATGAAAAATAAATTATTAATTAAATAATAATGACCAAAGGTAAAGCACTGTTATCCGCAAGTCCAACGTCTTCAGAAGCAAATACGATTAATCTTCTAGCTAATTAAAAGGATGAAAAATAATTAGTACATCTATTACCTTGACTTTATTATTTAATTCATATATTACCTATATACAATGGATCTTCTCCTGCTGTTAACATACGGCCCAACCAATATAAACTTGCTAAATAAAACACAAAGATATGTATGTAATTGAATATTTTTTGTTTGTTTTAATGATAAATTTAAAACATAATTTTTTTAGGAAAAATTTCATCATACCATTAGGATCGCTACAAATATATATATATATATATATATTAAACAATGATAAATATATTCATTAAAATATTTTATTTCACCGAAAAGAAGTTTGATATTTACCTTCCACGCATACTTTTATGAAGTGCACTAATTATATTATAGTGTTCTTCGCCGTCTTTATCATATAATAAATGAGATTTTTGAAATATTTTTTTAATATCATCTTTGTTTAATTTTGTTCTTCTTGGTTCACGTTTACTCATATTTAAAGCAACCTCAAGTGCATTAAGCGCAACTCTAGCTTCAAAACCAATTAATAACTAATTAATAATTTTTTATTGCTAATTATTTTTATGTATATAATAGCTTATAATTTTTAATTAATTACCATCACCATCACTAATTACTGCTAAAAACTTCAATGATTCATCATCTATAATATTCTCGAATTGTTCAACATCATCATCCATAACTGAGTCAACATCATCAACATTAACAATTTTTTGTGGAGAAATTTCTTGTGCCAAAGCTTTTTTCAAAATGATAAGTATTTCATCAGTAGATAATTTTTTTAATGCAAAAACCATACACCGACTGAGAAGTGCGGAATTTATCTTAAATGAAGGATTTTCAGTTGTGGCTCCTAGATAGTATGTATATAAATAAATAAATGGAATACTATTATACTGTTATACTATTATATTATTATTATGATTACCTATTAAAGTGACCGAACCAGATTCTATATAAGGAACTAGAAGAAAGAAAATACGCATGGATTAGATAAAGATATAATATGAGATGAAAATGAATAGTTTGATTATTAAAAATTTACGAAATAAATCTTGTTGAGCCTTATTAAATCGATGACTATAACAGATTAAATAAATTTAAATCAAAGTATAGTAAATTCTTTCAATTTCTAATAAATAAATAAATTGAATATTACATTTCATCCAAAAATATTATAGTACGATGTCCTAACAACTTTTGCTCATTCTTTGCCTCATCAAAAGCTTTTCTATTATTATATAATTTAGGTTTCAATGAGAGAAACTTTTAATGTAATTTAATATTTTAAACAATTTACTTTACTTTATATCAACAGAACCTTTAAATAATAAAGAATATAATATTTAATTAATATAATAAACATTTAGGAAATGATATATGTTTGAGAAAAGATTTTAACAAAATACCATGAGAAGTTCCAGAAAATTCTTTAAATACAGAATTTGTCGTATTTGCAATTATCTAGTCAAACAAATAAATGTGAACATAACAATATAACTAAAGGATTTTACTATAACAAATTATAATAATAATTGTAATACTCTTGCAAGTGTGGTTTTTCCAGTTCCACTATTTCCAAATAATATCATTGATCTAGAAAAATAAAAATAAAAATAAAAATAAAAATTGAATTTAAAAAATTATTAGAAAGAAAAAATCCTATTTTAAGAAATCTTACGGTATTTTGTCTAGTAATATTAAATTTCTTAGAATTCCTTTCTCGCCGATCAACTCATCTTGACCCACAAATGAATCAAGGTTACTTGGTCTAACTAGATGTAAAAATTTTATTATTAATTTTCAATATTATTTATAAGCAAACTTTAAAATAGATTATTCTTTACCTTTAGAAGATAATGGAAGAAATTCAACTTTTGAGTTGTTTGGTTTTATTTTTTTAATTTGATTAGGAGATTGTGACCCTTGAAAAAAAGTCTTTGCCTTATTGTCATTGGAACTAATTTTGGGAGAGGATGAGGAAGAGAAAGATTTGTTAAAAGATGTATTGAATCTTCTCAAACTATTTCTATTACTACTTGATGATGATGATGATGATAAAAATGGTGATGATTTAGGTGATTGCGATGGTGATTGTGATTTAGAAGGAATCTTCCAATCATCGAATGTAAATTTACGCTTTTTGGATTTAGCAAATAATCATTATTATTTATGACAATTAATTAAAAATTTTAATTATTCTTTTATTTATTCTTACTTTTGGAAAATTCGAGATTTTAGAAGAAGGCGATGATGACATGTCAAAGATGTATGAGGAGCACGTATTATTAATATGTTGATCCATTAGATTTTTCTCGACACAGTCACCACATCTGGAGCAAATACCCATTTCTTCTTTTATTTTTAAATTGGAATTAAAATTATTGATGATATTTAATATTCTGAAAAAAAAAATAATCTTTCAGTACACGTAATAAAACATACCACCGTTATCATTGTTATTGTTCATGATGAAAATGAACCTGGCGATGATCGTTCAAAACACATGATCAATTATTTTAGAATTTGTTGATCAATTTTTTAATTTTGTAATTCACATAACGTGAACTATTCAAACTGCTAGTTTTATCGACAGAATTAGTTCAATATTGTCAACTTCAAAATCCATGCATACATATTGAATTACACAGTTCATATAATCCAACGAAAAATCAGAAACATTCTTGTAGCATTTTTTTTTTTTTTTCAATGTAGGGAATGTAATGTTGTTGTTGTACGGACTTCCGATGTCCTATTTTTTCTTATTAATGAGCAACTAAAGAAGAAAATCCTGACACCGATCATTGAGTATTCGGACGCATCGTAGGGCTTTCGAACTCATCCTAATCTGACCCTCTATGATGGTTCTTATTAAGTGAAATAAAAAAATTCAAATATTTACAATTGGAACACCAGAAAAATATCTGGATTAT